ACAAGAATCGTGCTAATCAAGTATCTTCCGAAGATAAAGGGGAGGTGTCTCATGTCCCTTCAAACCTTGATGGTGTTTTCCTCTCCAAGGCCCAGTATGAGCAATTTTAGAAATTGATATCTCAACCTGCCGAGGCAACTAGTCATGTTGCTCAAAAAGGTATGGCATTCCATGTTGAACGTAGTAATCGTTGGATCCTTGATTCAGGGGCCTCTGATCACATGACAGGTAATGCAACCTTATTTTTCTCCTATACCCCTTACTATCACCTGTCACGAATAAGAACAGCTGATGGGAATTTCTCCACTATTGCGGGGAAGGGATCCATTAAACTTTCTGAGCATATTATTTTGAATTCAGTCCTTCATGTTCCCTCTCTTACCTGTAACCTCATCTCAATTAGCAAACTTACTGCTGAGTTGCATTGTGTTGCTAAGTTCTCTGCAAATGCTTGTACCTTTCAGGAACAGGACTCGGGGACGATGATTGGCAGTGCTAGAGAGGAAGAAGGGCTCTACTATTTTAAAGAGAATCCTTGTGAAAGGAGGATTTTTTCAAACCACTCTTTATGTTTATCAGATGATTGTAATGATGTTTTGTTATGGCATCGTAGGTTAGGACACCCAAATTTTGTCTATCTTCAGATGTTATTCCCGAACTTGTTCATCAATAAAAAGCCAAGTTCCCTTCTTTGTGATATTTGTCAGCTTGCAAAGCATTCTCGTGCCAGTTATTCTCCTAAAAAATATCATGAATCTTCTCCCTTTACATTGATTCATAGTGACATTTGGGGACCTGCTCGTGAAAAAAATGTCTCGGGTGCTCGTTGGTTTATTACTTTCATTGATGATCATTCTAGGGTATGTTGGGTATACCTCTTGAAAGATAAGTCTGATGCGGCATCCACCTTTAAAAATTTTCATGCTACGATTCAAACTCAATTCCAGACCTCTATCAAAATTCTGCGAACAGACAATGGTACTGAATATTTTAATTCTGTTCTTGGAGATTACCTAAACCAGCATGGAATTATTCATCAAAGTTCTTGTCCTAACACCCCTCAACAAAATGGGGTGGTTGAAAGAAAAAATAGACATCTAATTGAAGTTGCTCGAGCTCTTTTATTCACGATGCTTGTCCCTAAATATCTGTGGGGGGAAGCCGTCTTGACAGCCTCTTATCTCATTAACCGGATGCCTTCTCGGGTACTAAATTTTCATTCTCTTTATCTTGGCTTACTAAATTTTTTCCCTCTTTCAGTGCTGTTTCTTCTCTTCCTCCCAGAATATTTGGCTGTGTGGTTTTTGTGCATATTCCTCCACATCACAGGTCCAAACTTGACCCTAAATCTGTTAGATGTGTCTTCATAGGATATTCCCCTAATCAAAAAGGTTATAAGTGTTACTCACCTTCTCTCCGTAAGGTTTTTGTTTCCATGGATGTTACCTTTTATGAGACACAATCCTTTTTTTCCCCGACTTCTCTTCAGGGGGAGTCTATTGGTATTGGTATGGATGAAGATAAGCCTGGGAAACAAAATGATGCTGCTGTCTTACCTTGGCCTTTGGAAACAAGGGGAGTTATTGGGAAGGAAACAGGGGGAGCAACTATACCTGAATCTAATGATCCTCCTTGTGATCCTCCTGGTAAATGGGGAAAATTTTACAGCAGGCGCAAAACACATGAAGATACTCTAGACTGCCAGGATCCTGATTCGAGTCCTTGTTCCAGCAACCCACTTGAATGTACTAGTACAACCAACATTGATATGCCTATTGCTCTTCGGGAAGGTACTAGATCTTGCACTGCTCATCCTATTTCCCATTATATCTCATATGAAAAGTTGTCTCCAGGTTTTCGTGCTTTCAACACTATGTTAGATAGTACCAGGATACCCAAAAATATCCAAGAAGCACTTGATGACCCAAAATGGAGGAATGCTGTATTAGAAGAAATGGATGCACTTACAAAAAATGGAACATGGGAGTTTGTGACATTACCTAAAGGAAAGAAATCTGTTGGTTGCAAGTGGGTGTTCACAATAAAATTCAATGCAGACAATAGCATCAATAGGTATAAGGCCAGATTAGTTGCTAAGGGATTTACTCAGACTCATGGGATAGATTATCAGGAGACATTTGCTCCTGTTGCCAAACTTAACACTATCCGCGTTCTGCTATCTCTTGCCTCCAACCTTGATTGGCCATTGCAACAGTTAGATGTTAAGAATGCCTTCTTGAATGGTGATCTACATGAGGAAGTTTACATGGATCCACCTCCTGGTTTTGAAAAAGGGGATGGTTCTGTGTGCAAGTTGCAGAAGTCTCTCTATGGACTTAAACAATCTCCCAGAGAATGGTTTGGGAAATTTACTCAAGCTGTTAAGGGAAGAGGGTTCACCCAAGCTCAGACTGATCACACCTTATTTTTTAAACACTCCGACAAAGGAAGAATTGCTATTCTGATCGTTTATGTTGATGACATAATTATCACTGGTAATGATAGCGAGGAGATAACCTCTTTGAAAAAATGTTTAGCTGACCAGTTTGAACTAAAAGATCTTGGATCTCTCAAATATTTCCTTGGCATGGAAATTGCTCGGAGTAAGGAAGGAATTTCTTTAACTCAGAAAAAATACATTCTAGACCTGTTGCAAGAAACAGGTATGCTTGGGTGCAAGCCGACAGAGACTCCAATTGAAGCTAATATCAAGATGGGTGTTGAGGACGGGGAAGATGTTGATAGGGAGCAGTACCAGAGACTAGTGGAGAAATTAATCTATTTGTCTCACACTCGTCCTGATATTGCTTTTGCTGTGAGCATGATTAGCCAATTCATGCATTCTCCTAAGGAAAAACACCTTAGTGCTGTTTATAGAATTCTCAAATACCTCAAAAATACCTCTGGTCAAGGAATTTTCTTTAAAAAGGGGCACAAAAGGATGATTGAAATCTATACAGATGCAAATTGGGCTGGCTTTGCAATGGACCGAAGATCTACTTCAGGATATTGTACTTATGTCTGGGGAAACCTTGTGACCTGGAGAAGTAAGAAACAAACTGTTGTTGCAAGAAGCAGTGCAGAAGCAGAATTTCGGGCTCTAGCCCATGGTATTCTTGAAGGAATTTGGTTACGAAGGCTTCTGGAGGAGTTGAAGATCTCTTATTCCCTACCTATCAGATTATATTGTGATAATAAGGCTGCTGTCAGCATTGCTCAAAATCCTGTTCATCATGACAGAACAAAACATGTGGAAGTTGATCGTCACTTTATCAAAGAGAAGTTAGAAGACGGTAGTGTATGCTTGACATATATACCTACCAAGGAACAGACGACAGATATCCTCACCAAAGGATTACTTAAGCCGACCTTTGAGAATTTGATCAACAAGTTGGGAATGATCAATATATATCTCCCAACTTGAGGGGGAGTGTAGATTATGTAGAATATTCTAGATAGTATTTATTGATGTAGTTGGTAGTTGTATATTTAGTTGGTAGTTGTATATTTATTGATGTAGTTGGAGGTTGCATATTTATTAAAGTGGTTGAGGTAGTTGGATGTACTCAATATAAAAAGGACCCATTGGGTCTCTCAATGAATCAAGAAAGTATTATTCAGATAAAACACTTCTTCCACTTCTTCTTTTCTTCATTACTTAATCATTGTTGTTATTACAATGAACTTCTAATCAAACTGCTATGGTATCATTTATCCTGTTTTTCTTGTATCTTGCATTATGCTTTTTGTCATGCTTTATTCATTGTGAAGGTCATTATCAGTAATATGTACTTGATATGCTGAATGATTTTCATATATACTTTCCAGCTAATTTTATAAATTTATATAAAGTTAGAATAATTCTAATTACAAATTTTCTGATGTTGTAGTCCTGTGTCTCCTATAACTAATGTGCTTCCTCTATCTCTGGTTCTTCTCGTCTCTCTTATTAAGGAAGCTTTTGAGGACTGGGTAAGAAAATTTTATTATTCTCCTTACACATTGCTTTCTTTTTTTACATGCTTTACTTAAGTTTTTTTGGAGGTAAGGGAATTCAGGTTTCATCCTTCAGGCAGATATTTTATACGAAGTTCCAATTAAGGATGTTAGAGGAGAATGTTGAATATATATGTATGTGGAAATAAGAATTTAATCATACAATGAACTTACATGTTTGTAAAATATTATGCTTATTTTGTTTCAAAATATGGTTATGACCTCCTCATTTACTTTGTTATTTATACTTTTTATTTTTTTTGGATGGCATCCTTAATTGGAAATTTTCCATCCCTCCTCATAGGAGTAGAATTTGTGTGTATTCTTCTTATTTATTTGTTTTTTTGATTTTTGTATAACAGAAGCGTTTTCAAAATGACATGTCCATAAACAATAATATGATAGATGTTTTGCAAGATCAAAAGTGGGAGTCTATGCCCTGGAAAAAGTTGCAGGTTGGAGACATTGTCAAGGTGAGAATGCTATAGATACTGATTATATAGATAATGCATGGTAAGCATTTGGATAATGCATCTTAGAAGGCCAGTTCGATATGTAATATGTATTCCAACTAAATTCTAACTAGTTATTGTGCTTGTCTAGCTCACATGAGTCTAGGAAAGTGTCCAAGTGATAATTTCATATGTCAAACTCAAACCTTTCCTAATGCATGGAAAGTATATTTTTGTAAAGTCTTCATTTCATGTATTTGCAATTGTGGATGTCATCTAGGCTCAAGTAATGATAATTCTATACAACAAAGTCTAAAAGATGAATGCTAACTTTGCTTGAATCTTTATTGTGATGCTTGAATCATCCTTTATACTTCACTTGATCTTTATTTGTTATTTGATCTTCAAGCTTTCATGATGTCTTTTGTATGTTGCTTGCTTTTTGCTCTTGCTTAATCTTTGACGTTTGTGCTCATCATAACTTCATAGTGATTGGTGGTTGTGGCAATGTCAATGTGCTCATGTCTATGGCAGTCAAATGCATAAACTCCACTTTGTGTTTCAACACCCCACTTCCCACTCTCTGGGTACAAGCAGCCATCTCATTCCACATCAAATTTGCTTCTGCATCTAGACTTCACGGTCTTTCTTGAAGCATTTTTTTCCTTGAAATCTTTTTGTTTTTCTTCATTTAACTTCCATCATCTTATTATGGGGTTTTCAACACTTCTCTGCATTTCTGCATTTTGTTATATCGAACCTCTAAAACTGCTAAATTAGGTTGCATAGTTATACACTCTCCAGGTAGACTTTGCAATCTGCATACAAGACTTCATTCTCTCTTTAAGCAATAAAGAAATTACTCTAGTTACAATTTTGACCGCTACGAAAAATGATTAGTTGTGAAAGGAAATCAATCTTGTAAATCTTTGATTTTCGGTGTAATTGTTAGTTTGGTTTGCAGATTTATGTAATCTACATACCCTTGGGATTTGTATTCCTGATCTGAATGTCATGGTTAAATTGTGGGTGTTTCTATTTACATTCAATACCTGCTGTGAATTAAAAGTTTTTCTTTATTGCAGGTAAAGCAGGATGGATTCTTTCCTGCAGATCTGCTTTTCATGGCTAGTACAAATGCAGATGGTGTCTGCTACATTGAGGTTTATTTATTTATATTTTTCAATCTCGTATGAGTTTTTTCGGGAAATTTTTTAGCAGTGTCTGCAGTATATTTACCTTGGGTTTGGGTGACAGACCGCTAATTTGGATGGGGAAACCAATTTGAAGATTAGGAAAGCATTGGAAAAGACTTGGGATTACCTGACTCCAGAGAAGGCTTCTGAGTTTAAAGGTTTACATCTTTTATTGATTAACCTATAATTCTACAGATCCACTAACCTTACGTATGTCCATTTTAAGTTTGAGGATACATGTTGTCAACCTTTCAATTATTTTTTAATCTGTTTTTTCTCTTAAACATTTATAGTAAAATTTTTGTTGCATTATCATAATTTTGGTTCGTACCGAGTAATTAGTATTTAGTACAAGGATTGGGCAATTGGCATTTAATCAGTCCATTGTGTATGTTACTATGGACTGGCTACATGCCTTGATTTCTTTGAGATGTAATTCTGCTTCCAATTTAATACGTATGACTACAGAAATGTATAGCATCTTTTCGAGTGACTCCCTCTTCTGTGTATAGGAGTTTAGCTGGTGAAATGGTATATTAGTTTCTTGTAGATATGTTGTAACTACTTGAGAACGTACTTACTGTTGGATTTTCATTGTTATTTTACTCCAATTTTCTTGTTTGTCTATCTTCCTTCATCGTAGCTACAAATTTGTAATATATTATTTTTTATGCAATTTGTGTGTTCAAATGTTCATGTTCACATTCCCCTTTCCAGCATCAGATCAGTTGTGGATTCAGGCTGAGTAAAACTATTATAAAATTGTGTAATTGAGTGTGTCATATATCATGCTGAATAGAGATCCTCCAATCAGATGGCAGTGTTCAATTTGGGTATCATAATTGTCAAAATCTGGACAGCAGCAGAGAGTGGTCAACCCTAAAAATGCTATAATGGGATAGAAGATAGCGGGATGGCTGGTATACTAAATACTATGAATGTAAGATTAATAATTTATACCACACATACAGTCATATATATTAAAAATAAAAAATTAGCCAAATTAAAGACATCTCTATCATTAATAATCCAAGGCCGTAGTCTAACGTTCAATCACAATCAATCTAAGGGATTATTAACTAGTTAACAACAAAGTCAAGGAGCATAAGGGGGAAAAATTACAGTGTACATCATCACGTATAAAAAAACAGAGTTATGCTGTTAGGCATTAGCTAACTCCTAACAAGGAGAATAATGTTTGAAGGGTTATATTCTAGAAGGAATAAACAATATGGGGGTCTGTAGGTTAGTTGGTTAACACAATTGATTACAGAAGAAGTTACTTAGGAGTTAGAGCTTAAATAGTGGGGGTTGTACACAATAGAGTAGGTTGAAATGATAGTTTTTTAACTAGGCTGTGGTATCCTCTAAGGCGTTGAGGAAACTGTTTGAAGTAGAGTCTGTCCCCATGATTTTAATCTTCTCAGAATGCTGCTGGATTCAGATGGAGAAGTACAAGTCGATCTAGTAGACCTCACCATTCAGCATTTGAGACCCTACTTGTTTGGTCACAGGTTTACTGGTATACTGGTCAAGTTTACACTATTTGTTGGAGCAGCAGATTACCACTCATAATCAGCAGAATTGGTTGGCAAAGCTACTGGCATATGTGTTTGACATTATCTACAAGGTTGGGACAAAGAATGGGGTAGCATATGCCCTCTTTTCAAAGGAAGATGAGAATGAATTACTGTTCATTTCTCGATCTTTTTGGAAGGAAGTTTCCTTCGTTGATGAGAAGGTTAAGGCTGATCCAGTTTTAGCTAGAATTTTGGCGAATCTTCAACATAAACCTAATTCCCTCCTTTATTATACTTTGAACTATTGGAGCATGGAAGAATTCATTATAAAGGGATGTTGCTTCTTTGTGCTTCTGCAGCTTGGACAACGCTACCATAGGAATTCCATGCCTCCCCTATTGGTGGTCATTCAGGTGTCTACAAAACTTACAGATGTGTGGCTCAGTCCTTTTATTGGATAGGGATGAAAGGGACCATTACTGCATTTGTGGTTGCATACCACATTTGCCAGCGCAGCAAGTACCAGGCTTCTTCCCTAGTTGGGTTGCTACAACCCTTACTATTTTTATTGCCATTTGGGAGGAGTTAAGCATGAATTTCATTGTGTGACTGCCTAAGTCGAAAGGTTATGATGCTATTCTAGTAGTGGTGCATTGCTTATGGGCATTATATCCCAATCAAACCTCCCTATTAAGATCGTGTCATTGCAGAGATTTTTGTCAGGGAATTAGTAGGGCTACATGATGTCCCTATCTCTATTGTCAGTGATAGAGATCCTAAATTTTGTATCTCCTTTTGGAAGGAGCTATTTTTCTTACAGGGCACGACATTGAAGACGGTACTAACTAGCAGGACTCTAGAGACTTGCATTTCTTTAGTTCTGAGCAACCTAAGGCTTGGAGTGATTTTTGGCACTGGGCTGAATACTTGTATAATACCAGCTTCCTTATCTCAACAAATTGCACCCGTTTTGAAGTCATTTATGGTAGACCTCCACCATCTCTTTCGCGATTTATCCCACGAGAAATCTTGGTAGAGGGGGTGATGCAAGACTTGTTCACTATGGTTGACATTGACCAAAGCTTAGTCCCATATGGTTCACTATGCTAATGCTCACAAGTAACCTTGCACAGTCCAGCTAGGGGATCATGTTTATTTAAAAATAGACCCCGCCATCAAGGCTCTATGCCTCCCATTTGCATCCTAAGCTAGCTGCTTGCTACTATGGCCCTTGCTTGGTGATTGGACAAATTGGTCCAGTTGCATTTCAGCTTCAACTCCCTCCTCAAGCTTGGATACATTAAGTTTTTCATGTATCTCAGCTTAAGAAGGCAGTGGGGATTCATCCTGCAGAGGAGACATTTATGCAGTACTCTACTATACGGTTCAGACTTTGGGTGCTCGAATAATTACCTAGCACGGGGAGTAGGCGTAATTGGTTTTGATTTAGTGGCAGAACCAACCCCTCCAGAGGAAGCCACTTAGGAGGATGTTACTACCATTCAGAGCCAGTTTTTGGACTTCAACCTTGAGGACAAAGTTGATCCTGTAGTGGGTGGTATTGTTAGGCACGAGCCAATTCCTAATAAGGAGAATAAGCTTTGGACGGTATATTCTAAGAGTAATAAACACTAAGGAGTTAGTAGGTTAGTTAGTTAACACAATTGGTTAAAGCAGTAGTTAGTTAGGAATTAGAGATTAAATAGCGAGAGCTGTACAGAATAGAGTAGACTAAAATGATAGTTTGTTATCTGGGGTTTCTCAATTGTAGGGTATTACCCTTGTGAGGGAGATATTCTCCTAGTGCATTCTCTCTTCTCATAACTGAATAACATAATTCTCCTTCCCCATCTCTCTTGTTTATATTTTCTCCCTACCATTCTTCCTGCATTTCTAATCTATTTTCATACGGTTCGAAGCTGGGAAAGACTAAGCTGGGCAAAACAGACAGAGCAAAGACATGAGAATAGAGCCTGGGGCTGCTTGTAAAAGGACGGGAAGAACACTGAGGTGCAAAAAGAGGGTGGGGCTGCTGGATTTTTTGATAGATAGAGGGATTCTTACACTAAAATCCTTCTGATTTTATAAAAGGGTGTAAAATTGCAAAAATCTGCAAAAGAAAATGAGTGGGCTTTGGCAAAAAGGGTGGGAAAACAGGGTTTTGGTCCCTGTTCATAGTTGAGGCTGCTTTTGATGAGTGTCAATTGTAATGATAAATTTAAACTTGATTTGTTGTTTATTTATTCAAGTTCTGACAAATTGTTTTCACACTATTTGCAGGTGAAGTTGAATGTGAACAACCAAACAATTCATTGTATACCTTTACTGGAAATCTTATAACTCAAAAGCAAACACTGTCTCTCAATCCAAACCAAATTTTGTTGCGAGTATGTGACACTTTTTTCTTGTAATGCTGTTTGGAGTATTTTTTGATATTGTGAGCTCTGTGTTTATTCATATGCTTGCCATAATTGTGTCATTTGATGGGGTTAGTGGAGTGTTTTTTCTTTGTTGGACTTGTTTTAAATATCATATTGTTCTTACCATCAATATGTGCTGATATTTGCTTATGAAACTGAACTAGCATTGACTTATTGAATCTCCTGCCTTTTCAGGGGTGCAGTCTCAGGAATACAGAGTATATTGTTGGGGTTGTTATTTTTACGGGACATGAAACAAAGGTTCGTAGTTGTAAAATGATGCCTAATAATACCTCTATCAATTATCTAGCCCTCGGTCTGAATCTAGTCAAAAGATAGTTATAAACATGTAATGATAGTAATGCATTGATTTTTTGAAATGTTACTAGTGACATACTGCTATTCTTTTGTACTTGTTATGATATCATAATTATCATTAGTGTTAGAATATATAAAGAAATATTTCATAATATCTTGAAATAGTTTAAGAGTATCTTAAATGATCTTTTAGGAATAGTTTTCTTATTTCTTTTTATTCCATTATTTGTTTCATTTTTAATTAGGATTTGGAGTCTATTATTAGAGTTAGAGATACCACTCCCCTTTAAACCCCAACTAGAGAGGGTGGGGGGAAGTCTTTGTACGTAATCTTACCCTTGCATAATTGCAAAGAGGTTGTTCCTCGGATTTGAACCCTGTTATCTTTCAGTCACAAAAGAACTTTACCACTGCTTCAGGCTCACCCTCAGAGTTAGAGATGTAATATAAAATCATTCATGTGTCTTTACCTAACAAGTTAAGCTTTTGGGAGAATTGATTCATGACATGGTGTCAGAACCTCTATGACCAAATGGTCTAGAGTTCCATCCTTGCTGCCCCCATTCCTCTAATAAAAATGTTGAATTTGATCATTGGGTAGGTGTGCTTGTGCATTGTAGACATTTCAAGCCTAAAGAGCTTATGTTAGGGGGCATATTAGAGATGTAGTATAAAATCATTCATGTATCTTCACTTAACAGCTTGAGCTTTTGGGAGAGTTGGTTCATGACAATAAGTATAAACAAGGATTAGTGTTATTTAGCTTGTAACACATTACACGTCCCATATCATTATTATATAATATTATTTATAGTATGTTCTCTCATTTTTTCCTTGTCTACCTAAATCCCTATAACTTCATCATGGAATTGGAGCGGTACACCCCTCCTCTATTGCTATGTGTTTCTTCTTGCATCATCTCTCTTTCCACCGTGCCACTATTAGTGATGTTTCTCTCTTAGTCAATGGGCTTTTCTAGTTGCCGAAATATTCTTCGGAATCCTTAGATTGGTTCGTGCCACTGTTGTGTTGTTTTTTTGGTGGCCTTTTCTCCGCCATCCACTGCCACCCCATGATTTTTTGTCGATGGCCACACCCATTATAACATGTACTAGTGTAGCTTTGTATCTGTACTACTACATCCAGAGTAATCTGGGTGCACCCTATTTCTGCTATGTCAACCTGGCATCTGTTTGGATAGTTAGCACTGTTAACATTTAGTTACTTTGATAAAGCCTGCTTAACAAGCTTGCATGTACTATACGTAAACGGCTATGGGTTTTCAGTATTCGAGTTCTTGAGAGAAGCCATAGATGAGAGAAAGAGAGAGAAGAAAGAGAGAGAGAATGTAAGAATTGTATTATGTAATCTGAATGTACAACGTGCACTCTATCACTATATATATAGAGTGATGATCTAACTAAATGAGTACAATGATAACGGACAGCTAACACCTAACAGATCTGTAACAGACTGGATAGGAAAAGTATCTGATACATGCACGCACATTTAAAGAAGCTACAACTACATATCTAATACACCCCCGCAAACTCAGGGGTCTTGAGTCACTGAATCAAGAACTCTGAGTTTGGCTCTTAAACTTGCAAAATGTCCAGATGGAAGAGGCTTTGTCAAAGTATCTGCCAGCTGATCTGAGGCAGGAATATGATGAACAATAATCTCATGTGCAAGAACTTTCTCTCGAACAAAAAATATATCCAGTTCCATGTGCTTTGTGCGGGCATGCAAAACAGGATTATGAGAGAGAGCCATTGTGCTAAGGTTATCACAGAAAACATGTGGAGTATCAAAGGAGACTTGTAATTCACAAAGAAGAGACTTAATCCACAAGATTTCAGCACAAGTAAGTGCTAAACTTCTATATTGAGCTTCAGTTGTGGACCTTGCTACAAGAGTTTGCTTCTTGGACCACCACCAAGAAACAAGATTAGGACCCAAGAAGAGAGCTGCCCCTGAAGTAGAACGCCTGTCATCAGGGTCACTTGCCCAATCTGCATCACAGTATGCAGTGAGAGTAAAGGGAAGCTGAGGATTTGCCTTTTGAAGAACAAGGCCGAAGGTAATAGTCCCTTTTAAGTATCTTAAAATTCTCTTCACAATTTTCCAGTGGTCATCTAAAGGCTGACCCATAAATTGGCAAACCTTATTGACAGCATAACTAATTTCAGGGCGAGTGATTGTTGCATATTGAAGAGCACCCACAACTGATCTGTAGAGATGAGGATCTGAAAAATAGTGTGATCCAAACCATGAGAAGGCATGGGAGAAGAAATTCCTTTAGCATCAAACATATCAGCTCTAGTAAGTAAATCACTTATATATTTAGATTGGGACAACACCAAGTCACCAGAAAAATGAGGCTTAACCTCAACACCTAGAAAGTAATCAAGATTGCCAAGATCCTTTAGTGCAAATTGAGAATGAAGCTGCTGAATCAGTTGCTGAATATAAGAAGCATTAGTACCAATCGCAATGATGTCATCAACATATACAAGGATGTAAGTGCAGTGAGAAGATGTTTTGGAAATGAACAAGGAAGGGTCACAACAGCTTGATCGGAACCCAAACTGTACTAAAGCACCTTTTAGTTTGTCAAACCATGCTCTAGGAGCCTGTTTAAGCCCATACAATGCTTTATTGAGCTTGCAAACTAAGCTCTTATCAGAATTTTCAGACCCAGGGGGCTGTGACATGTAGACATCTTCTTGTAAGTCACCATTGAGAAAAGCATTATTAATATCCAACTGCCGAATTGACCAGGAGTGAGTGAGAGAAAGAGTGATCATTATTCGAATGGTGACAGGTCTGACTACAGGTGAAAAGGTTTCATTGTAGTCAAATCCTTCTTGTTGATGAAATCCCTTAGCCACAAGTCTAGCCTTGTATTTATTCACAGAACCATCAGGATTTTCTTTAACTTTAAAAACCCATTTGCAGCCAATTGATTTCCTTTTGGGAGGCAGAGACACAAGAGTCCATGTATTGTTAGTTATTAAAGCATTATACTCAGCTTGCATGGCCTCAAACCAAGGGGGACTGGTTAGAGCTTGTTTCACAGTAGATGGTTCAATATGAGCAAGGAGAGCAATGGATCGGGCTGCTGTCTTAGATCTGGTCTGAATAGAGTGTGGAGGTGAAATTATTGGTAAGGAGTTTGGGGGAATATATTCAGAGACTGAGGAAGAAGAAGAAGAAGAAGAAGAAGAAGAAGTGGAGGAGGGATCAGAAGAGGACTGCACTGTTTGGGCAGGAAGAGGGCTGTGAAAGGAAGAAGAGGAATCAGATTGAGAGTTGGACTGCAGAGGAGAGCTCAGGATAGGTGACTGAAACTGTACAGGTGACAAAGTATGAGTAAAAGTAGAAGAATGAGGAGACACGAGGAATTTGAGCAGAAACTGGAATGATTGGAGAAGTGGGACTAATTCTGGTGTCAGTCCAAGAATGATAAGGAAATTTATATTCATTGAATAATACATCCTTGGAGATATAGACTCTGCCTTCTCTACTTAAACAGACATAACCTTTGTGATTTGTGGAGTAGCTAAGAAACAAGCATTCTTGAGAACGAAACTCAAGTTTGTATCTGTTGTAAGGCCTCAAAAAGGGAAAACATGCACACCCAAAGGTTTTAAGAAACTGATATTTTGGTTTTTGCTTATACAATTTTGTGTAAGGAACATCAAAATGTAAAGATGCAGTGGGTAATATGTTTATTAAATATATTGCTGAAAGAAAGGCATAATCCCAGAATTTTTTTAGTGGTAAGGAGGCATGAGACAATAATGTCAGTCCCGTTTCAACAATATGACGATGTTTACGTTTAACAACACCATTTTGGTGATGAGTGTGTGGACATGCAACTCTATGAGTAATGCCATTGAGTTTAAGATAATCAGAAAAGGATTTGAATTCCTCACCCCAATCTGTTTGTAAAGCCTTAATAGGTAGCTGAAACTGAGTTGTTACCAATGAGTGAAATTGTTTAAATGTAGGAAAGGCATCATATTTTTGTTTCAGTAAATAAATCCAAGTGTATCTGGTATGGGCATCAACAATTGAGAGGTAATAAGTGTATCCCATGGTTGATGTAAAAGGAGCTGGTCCCCAAAGGTCACAATAAAGTAGAGCAAAGGGAGTATCATATTCAGACAGAGAGGGATATGAGGGGAGTCTATGTGCCTTACCAAGACAACAAGATGAACAAAATTCACTGACAATTTTATTTGAAGCTGGAATGTTACAAGAGTGAAGCATCTTTGTCAAAGTTACATGATTAGGATGCCCTAGACGGCAATGCCATAAGAAAAATGCAGAATCTGAAGGCATACATGATTGTCTATCACTATTACAAGACTGATCAGTGTGATTCACAATTTTATTGACACTATGAACATGATTACATTGTGAAATAGCACCAGAAAAGGTGTTGTCTGAGCTAGAAGTTGTGGATGGCAGAGTGCAAGAAGCAGATTTCAAAGGAAGAGAGATGTCTGAGAACTTGTACAGACCATCATCTCCAAGCACTCCTCGGAGAAGGATGTTATGAGATACCTGTGATTTGACAAAACAAACATTGGGATGAAATTCAAAATAAACACAATTATCTTTGGCAAATTGACTAACACTCATAAGGTTTTTCATAATGGAAGGAACTAACAAAAGGTTTTTAAGATGCAAACTTGTATTAGAATCACAAGGTGACAGAAAACTTGAAGATCCAATTGCTTTAATGTTCAAACCTTGCCCATTACCAATGATGACCTGATCAGAACCACTTAGTTGTTGACTCTGAATCAAGTTCATTGGGTTTGCAGTAACATGATGTGAAGCACCTGAGTCTGGATACCACTCAATAGCTGGAGAAGAAATTGGAGTTGGAAGCAATCCTGGCTGTACAGTCATCATAGCTTGAGGTACAGTAGCAACTGGACGAACATACTGATAATTTCGCTGCTGGATTTGTGGAGTCTGATTTTGAGCAAAGAATTGATCGTTTGATGAACTCTGTAGAGGTGGAAGTGTGGGTGTGAAGTCTTCATCAAAACGATGCCAGCAAGATCTCACATCGTGACCATATCTGTAGTAGAGCTGACAATGAACGTTTTGTCTATTCCCACGGCCTCTACCTCTATTATTTCTTCCAATATATCGTCCTCATCCTCTGTTGAAGTCATTAGAGCGAAGAGTATTAACAAAACCAATCTATTCAGAGACCTTACCAGTGCTCTGTTCTTGGTTCGCTAAAACAGGGGCAAACAGAGGAGTTGTCTCAGCAGTGTTGCTCTGTTTTTGAGCTACATTCACAGTGACAGAGTCAAGAAGGGATTCACTCTGTTTCAACAGCATCTGTTCATGTGTCATCAACTCTATAGCCAGATCCTCAACGGAGTAAGGATTTTCTCTTCCATGAACGGTTGTTACAAAAGCATTATACTCGACTGGAAGTCCTTCCAGTATGTAATCTGTTCTATCTTCATTTGTGACTAGATTTCCTATAGCCTTTAATGAATCACATAGGCTTTTGATTCGAGACAAGTATTCCTTTGCAGATCTGTTACCTTTCCTGATGGTTCTTAGTTCTGAGCGCAGTTGACGAGATCTAGACTTCATCACTCCATGAAAGAGCTTGTGTATTTTGTCCCAAGCTTCGTATGCATATTTGACTCCAAGAATTTCATTGACAACAGATTCTGAGATTGTTGATAGAAGCCAAGACAACAACATTGAGTCTTGTGTAATCCATTGCACATACTCTGGATTCTGGATATCGTTCTCTCGATCTTCATCAGATGCAAACTGTACTGGAATCTTTGGTTTCACCAGGTGACGATGAAGTTGGTGTGAAGTGATAATAAGTTCGATTATTTGATTGCAGAACAGATAGTTGTTTTCAGTGAGCTTCACAGTGATTTGATGATTGAATAGAAGTGGTGAACGATTCTCCATTTGTGTTGAATCTTTGTTCGACCTAGAAGATGCTGGAACGCTATTTTCTGTTGAAGTGTTGTTGTTGGTGTTCGATGCGGAAGACATAGTGGAGCACAAAAATGGATCAGGCCCTCAGAAAGAGAGCTCTGATACCATATTCGAGTTCTTGAGAGAAGCCATAGATGAGAGTAAGAGAGAGAAGAAAGAGAGAGAGAATGTAAGAATTGTATTATGTAATCTGAATGTACAATGTGCACTCTATCACTATATATATAGAGTGATGATCTAACTAACTGAATACAATGATAATGGACAGCTAACACCTAACAGATCTGTAACAGACTGGATAGGAAAAGTATCTGATACATGCAGGAACATTTAAAGAAGCTACAACTACATATCTAATATTCAGATCTGTAACTTCAATCATAATCAAAGAATCTCAATTTTCCTTCCCTCGTGCTTTTCTCTCATATTCTTTTGGTTTTTTCCCACTTTTTTATGGTATCAGAGCTCTAGTTCTTGGGGCCCTGATTCATTTATTGCGTCCAATCATGGCTCAAGCTTCCACTCAAACAATTCATTCTGTGTCTTCTCCCTGAGGAGATCCACCAAGAATTTTCTACTTTTGAAACAAATAATCGAGGCACCAATCATTGCTCATCAACTAGAACAATTCTCATCCATCCAAAAGTGCATGAGATATGAGTCAGAAGAGGATTGGTTGATCGAAAGAGTGAATCCAACATATGTTGAATATGAGAAAACCAATGGTTCTCACATGGCTGCAATCGTCGATGTTAGAAGAGATTATCGACAAAGTCCTTCATATCAAACTATCACACCAAGCTTGGGAAAAGTTTCATCGCTACTTCGATTCAGTGATAAAGGCCAAGGCTAATCAAGTCAGATCTAAGCTTAGAAATATTAATGTTGAGATATATAAAACCATTAATATAGCCTCACCCAAAAGCTTAAGCCTCACTGATACGATACCAAACTTATGGTTGAATTCTAGAAGTGTATACAGGGGATCAATACATGCTGAGTCATCAAATCAGTTATGGGAGAATATTCCCAAATTTGTGAGAGTGGGAATTGGTTAGTAACCGTGGCAAGCATGGCAAGTTTGTTACTGCTGAGCTATTAGAATAAATAGGAGATAGTAGGTGAATGGAAGTATCTTTTGGGGCATTTGGAACCTTGGGCACCTTAGGGTGATTTGGGAGAGACTAGGGGCTCTAGAATTCCTCTAGAATTATCCTTTACTGTTATTTCCTTGATTGTTGTAATTCTCTTTTATATTCTGCAAATTGTCTCTGTAATGTGTCTTGCTTAGAATCTCTGTAATTGTCCTTTGTTTCTTCCTTTACAATACTGTTGGTGAAGTTGCTTATTGTAATTCTGTTTTCTTGTCCAATATATATAAAAATCCAGATTCTTCTGGGCCCAAAATAGCTTGTGTTTCTGTTGATTATTTGATTATCTTAGTAGTCTGTATCACTCACCCAATAGCTTAAGCTTTTGGGTGAGACTATATTAATGGTTTATATATCTCAACAAATATATTAATGGTTTTATATATCTCAACATGGTATATCTCAACAATTAAGAAGAATGACGAGAGCATTTAAGAATATCTTGCTCGTTTGAATGCTCTTGTTGATACACACATTATCGGAGATCCAATTTTTGAGCAAGAACTCATTGAAACCGTTCTTGAAGGTTTGCTGGAGGATTATGCTCCTTTTATTACATATTTCCGTGGACGAGAGTCTTCAAATAGTTTTGAAGATCTGGAATCACAGTTGCTGGCTGAGGAATCAATGCCTGCAATGTTTCAAGCTGCATCTCAAACCATGGGCTCCATTAATGTTGCTCACTGTGGACCTCTGTTTGCCCCTATTTAGTGCTCACCAGAACAGGGGTATACCAATCAATGTTCTCGCCAACAACATGTGATGCATGAAGCTGATAATGGCTGAGGTAAGCCTCCTCAGGAAGGACGTGTTAGCTGGCATGGTGGTCGTTATCAGAATTGTGACGAACGAAGTGGTGGCAGGTCACCAGTAACCTGCTAACTCTGCTGACATGAAGTTTCTATCTGTTGCTGGAGGTTTGCTACAGCTTTCTCCTTAACCTGGCCCTTCGACGACTTAGAATTTTCCGATGACTCAAATTTTCCAGGTGACTCGGAATTTTCCGGTGAAATCTTCGTTTTCTCCTCACTGCACCCTTCCTCATCAAGGATATCTTTCTGATCTTTTCCTCCATACTTCACAGTCACAACTTGCTGAACTTTCACACTCAACTACACTTGGACTAGTTCAATCACCTTGTGCCCCAATTTTATCCTCCTTTGATCAACTAGCTCTTGATTGCTACCCAGACTCATAAGCTTCTCACCATGTAACCACGGATCCTTAAATCCTTCTCCAAAGCTCTCAGTTCACTGGACCAAATCAGCTCTTTGTTGGTAATGGCCAAGGTTTGCAAATAACTTCTGCTGGCTCCAATAAATTTCCCTCTCTTTTCAATTCTAACACCACCCCGCGCTTGCATAATCTTTCTTCTTGTTCCATCTATAACCAAAAACTTAATTAGTGTGAGCATATTTGCTATCTGCTGATGATAACCATGTTTATTTTGAGTTTACCCTCGTTTCTGTTATGCAAAATCCCAGGTCACTAGTTAAATTCTTCTTCATGGCTACGTTAGACAAGACAAATTGTAAAAGTTTAGTGGTCTTCAGCTTTCCACTAGAGCTTCTTTTCGTGCTAATATTGTGTCCTCTAGCTTCTGTAATAACAATAAATGTAACAATGTGTATAAAAAAAAAACGTAGTATCTAATTCAGATAGTCAACCTGTGAATAATCCTTGTATTCTCTCTTGTAATACTTTTGTTTTTCAATCAAATGTAAATGTTAGTTTTGAATACAGAAGTCAACCTCTCAAAATTGTATTTAAAAAATGTAATACCAGTCAGTAATGAATCGTTGGTTGACTTCTGTGCAGCATGTTGTCTTGGTAAATCTCACTGATTACTATCTTTCCCTTCTACTGTTTATACTGAACCTTTTACTCTAGTTTATAGTGGCTTGTGGGGTCCTGCTTCTCTTAAATCATCCCAAGGCTTTTCTTACTATATCTCCTTTGTTGATATAACCACATGCTTCACTTGGATTTATGCCCTTAAGCTAAAATCAGAAGCTCTAACAGCACTAAAACGCATCAAATCTTTTATTCACCGTCAGTTTAACACTTAGTTTAAATCTCTTCAAACTGACAGACTTAAGGTGTTAGACCTTTCTCATGACATTCCTAGAAATACTTTGACCAAATATGTTATTTCTGGGTAAATTCATAAACATTATTGGTTAGCATTTAATATTTTCGGAAATATATTTCAAATATGGGAAAAAGAAGTGGGAATTAGAGTGGAAGCTAATAATTTGGTTGCATGATAACATTGCTAGAAATACTGCTGGTGTTGAATGTGATGATTGCTGTCCTGTTTGTTTGAGTTCTTTTGTTCAGTGTGGATGAACTTATGTTCTTGGACCGAGCTTTATAAAATAACTTGAACTATATTTGCTCTTTCAGGACATTTTGTTGTCGTTTCACCTTGTTGCAGCATGTTCTACTTCTGTAGTTGTTCATGGATACTGTTTTACAGACATTTGGAATAACATTGCAGGTTATGATGAATGCAATGAACGTTCCTTCCAAAAGAAGTACATTGGAGAGGAAGCTAGACAAGCTCATACTCACTCTATTTGGAACTCTCTTTATGATGTGCTTTATTGGGGCCATAGGCAGGTGTGTGAGTTAAATATTGAGTTTGGCTGCGCACCTTCTGATCCATTGCAAATGTTTTGATGGGACGTACCCCTCAATCTACAATTTTTCTAAGTTAAGGTTAACAAAGAAAGTAATAATGACAAGTCCGTCATAACTAAATGGTTTTATAAAAAAAATTGTAATTATAGAGCGAGAAGTTTTATAAAAAAGCACAAGCATTAATGACGAGTCTGTTATAACTATAAATTTTTGTAATTGTGATTACAGAATGGGAAGTTGAGGAGACTGTCCTTTTTTATATTTCGTTTAATTAAATAATGATGGTATTTTGGGGAAAAAAATGAAATTGTGACCAAATGTGGTAATCCCTTATATTTCTGAATGATTTCCTTGGATTTGTGTGAGCTGCAGTGCTATCTTTGTAAACAAAAAATATTTTTACTTACATCTTGATTCATCGGAAGAGGGCTCAGCACAGTTCAACCCTAGAAACAGATTTTTGGTACTGTATACTTACTGCATCAAGATGACTAGCCATCTCCTTTATTTCTTCTCTTAACTTCTTATTTGTTAATTCCGTGTCTTGTGTTGTCAGGTTTTTCTTCTGACTATGTTTACCCTTATCACACTATACTCAACAATCATCCCCATTTCACTTTATGTGTCTATAGAGGTATGTGTCTCAGTCATTTATATGCCCTAAAAATGCTGATATCTTAAGAGAAAATGTTATTTACTGTGGTTATTATATCAGATGGTAAAGTTTATTCAGTCAACTCAATTTATCAACAAGGACTTGTGCATGTACCATAAAGAAACTAATACACCTGCATTGGCCAGAACTTCAAACCTGAATGAAGAGCTTGGGCAGGTAAGTTACTATGACATTTTTTGCTTGATTGAAAAACAATTATTATTAATGAGAAAAAAAGAAATTGTAAGATAGACAACAGCATATACTCAAAATGGAGGAAAAAAAAACAAAAGAATAAAAGAAATCAATCTAAAGAAAGGTTTCTAAAACCATCAGGATGACCTTCTAAGAAAACCCAGAATAAAAGTAGTTTTGTATTGTGACCATCAATTCTCTGCCATGTCAAACACAATATACCCACATTAAATGCCTGAAAAAAATCCTTGACCAAATCCTTCTCAAAGTTTGCACATTCAAGAAAGAGATGTTTTCTCCTGCTTTATTGCTTTTTCATCTCCAAAATTCACTAATGATTAATCTCTTTTAAGTTCCATTTGCACCTTTTTCCAACTCTACCCTGGAGAAAATTCCTTTTTTGTTAGGTATGAGTCAGAACATTATAATGAGAATAAGGTTTTGAGGGTATATTCCTGAAGGAATAAACTGTAAAAGGGTTAATTAGTTGGTTACAGGCAGTTACAATATAAGTTCGGAGGTTAGGTAGGTAGTCAACTAGGAGAAATTGTAATGCTGAGGATCATCTTGAAGAGTAACAGAAAACTGAGCCATCCAAGTTGCCCCTTGGAAAGAGGATTCCTCCTCTTGATTTCCTATCTTCTGAATAACAGAATACCCTTATTACAACCCCTCTATCTCTATCTCTTTTCCCTCTTTCTATAGTTATAGACAACAACTGTTCTAGGACGCTAACAGTTTTGGTATTGGCTGGAGTGGAGTCAAGAATCATAGCTTTAGAGAATTCTGTGGAGTTCCTGATGATAGTGGCCAGCAACCATGGCACATACCTTCAAGAGATCAAGCAAAGCTTATATGGGATTCACAGCATCAAGCATCTTATTGGAAGGTGGATGTAGAAGCAAGGCATTAAATTGGAGGATGATAGCACAATTGAGCAATTTGTTCGTGAAGAGATTCATCCCTATTCGACCAAGCATGTTGAGGAGAACGGAGAGGGTATTGGGTCGGATTGCATTGGAACAATGGCTCGTTCTTGGGCAAAAATGGTGGAGCTACCCACCTTTGATCACAATGATCCTGTAAAAAATCAATTCAACCCAAAAGTTTAAGCTGTTGGGTGAGGCTACATTAATGGTTTTATATATCTCAAGACGCCCCCTCACACGAGAGCCCATTGGGCTTGAAGGGTGGACAATGCACAGGCTCACCTACCTGTGCGAAGAAGGAAATTCTACTAGAAAAAAAGTGGGGGGCGGTGAAGATCGAATTCGGTACACCGAGGCTCTGATACCATGTAAAGAACTAATTCAATCCAAAAGCTTAAGTTGTTGGGTGAGGCTACATTAATGGTTTTATATATCTCAACATATCCCTTGGGTTGGATAACGAGGCTGAGACTTTTTTTGAGGTGCAGCATGTCAAGTCATTGGAGAAGGTGCATTTGGCTTTCATTATTGTGGAGGGGAGTATCGTTCAATGGTTTAGGTTCTTGCGCAAGAAAGACTTCTGTTGTAAATAATTGTAACTAGTTATTTATTTTTTCATTCTAGAATCTTCTTTGGGCTTAGCCCATTAGGTCATTTAGTCTCTTTAAATAGAGAACTCTTGTACAGTTAATATATTTTCCTTCAATTTTTCAAGTTGGTATCAGAGCTCTCGATTCTGAGGGCTCTGCTTCCACGACTGCCGTCTTTAGAGAGGAACACTATTTGTTTGCCTTTCAACGCCACCAAGCCGCCACTGGAAAATTTCCAGGGACCATTCGGACCGAGAGGACCTTTGCTTGACTCTTTTCCCCCCAGATCTATCAGTTTACGGATGTACTGTTCATGCGTACTGTTCATCGTGCATTGTTCATCGCCGGAAACACTGTTCGTCTCCGGAGTTAGAAGTTGTTTGGGTGTTCGTATGGTTGATTTTGTTGTTGTTTTTGACTTTTTCTTTGTGTTATGGCCGATTTTGATGGTGATTCGACTGTTACACAACCTCCATATGTCTCTTCATATGTGAATATTCGGCAAGGGGAGTTGGAGCAGCTTAAGGCTGCTATTGAAAATCTGTGTGAGCCATTTGACAGTTCTTTGATCTTGTCTGATAACCTCTTCTTGCTTCTTGCACTTATTTTAGAACCTCATGGATTTTGGATTCTTGTGCAATTGATCATATGACTTGTCTTGTTGAGTCTTTTCTTTCTTATCATCCTACTGTTGGTATTCATATTATAGCCGTTGCCAATGGATCCCATAAATCAGTTATTGATTCTGGTAACATTCACATTCAACCTTCCATTTTTCTTAAAAATATTTTTTGTGTTCCTCAGCTTTGCACGAATTTTATCTCCACTCATAAGCTTACAACTGATTTGAATTGTTCTATCACCTTTTTCCTTTCTCATTGTGTTATTCAGGACCTCATCATGAGGAAGACAGTTGTAATTGCTGATGAGCTGGGTGAGTTGTATTATCTCCTTCCAGAACATGCTATAAAAGATACCAAAAATAGCTATGGATGACACATCATCCTTCTACTGCAAAATCTATATTTTGCTCCATCACAAGCGTCTGGGGTGTTTAGAGAATAATATAAGCACTTGAGATTAAATAATAGAACAATTGTATATCAAATAATAGTGTTACAACATACAAGAGCTCTTTATTTAAAGAGACTAAAATACCTAATGGGCTAAGCCCACAAGATATGGGACTATTCTATTATATACACTGAACTATTCTAACACCTACTCTAACACTCCCCCTCAAGCTAGTGCATATATATTGTAAGAATTGAATCTGAAATATATTGTATATTCAAGTGTGTAAGTCTGTACAAGGAGACTCTCTATTTATAGAGACTAAAAGACCTAATGGGATGACCTAATGGGCCAAGCCCACAATCTAGACTATTCTAGACTATTCTAATAATAATAAATTAATATTATTTCTAACACTCTGATACGATACCAAACTTATGGTTGAATTCTAGAAGTGTATACAGGGGATCAGTACATGCTGAGTCATCAAATCAGTTATGGGAGAATATTCCCAAATTTGTGAGAGTGGGAATTGGTTAGTAATCGTGGCAAGCATGGCAAGTTTGTTACTGCTGAGCTATTAGAATAAATAGGAGATAGTAGGTGAATGGAAGTATCTTTTGGGCATTTGGAACCTTGGGCACCTTAGGGTGATTTGGGAGAGACTAGGGGCTCTAGAATTCCTCTAGAATTATCCTTTACTGTAATTTCCTTGATTGTTGTAATTCTCTTTTATATTCTGCAAATTGTCTCTGTAATGTGTCTTGCTTAGAGTCTCTGTAATTGTCCTTTGTTTCTGCCTTTACAATACTATTGGTGAAGTTGCTTATTGTAATTCTGTTTTCTTGTCCAATATATATAAAAATCCAGATTCTTCTGGGCCCAAAATAGCTTGTGTTTCTGTTGATTATTTGATTATCTTAGTAGTCTGTATCAATTGGTATCAGAGCTATCCGATCCGGGTAGCTTTGAACAACAACAACAACAAAAAACAAGAAAGAAAGAATGGAAAACAGATCTAAAGATTGGAGGAAAGAAGAGAGACAGTTGGAAATCAGATTTGAAGATTGGAAGAAAAGAGGAAGACAAGTTGAAGAAAATCATAGGGAGATACTCAGGCTCCTTGATGAACTTCTTGAGAAGACCAAGAATCACTCTTACAGTAAACGAACGAACAGAAGGCGAGACGGAATGCAAGTTTCACAGCCAAAAATGGAAACCCGAAGAGGTCTGGTGATGGAGAATCAATTTCGCAGAATGAAGATTCCTTTATTCTATGGAGACAGAGAAGATGATGAAGCTTGGGGATGGCTGATCTATTTGGATCAATTTTTTCGAATAGAAAGAATCAATGAAACTGAGAAGTTGAAGGAAGCTGTGAGAGGGCTCAGAGGGACTGCATTTAGCTGGTATCAAGGTTGGAGGTGGTACAATCCAAATGCAGACTGGATGGACTTTGAGAGAGCACTTATAGAGAAATATCTACCTGAAATTCATTTGGTAGATGATGATGAGGAATCGGATGCCTCTAAATCGAAACCCCAAAGGCAAACTAAATCAATGTTGAGGAAGTTAGACGCCATGGAAGGAGAACAGAAACCAGAAATCATGCAGGAGAGGAGAAACCAAGGGAAAATCATGCCAATAGATGAGAACCAATCACTTGCTTTTGTGCTAGAGAAGCATGACAAAGAAGAGATCGCAAGGGAAGAGCGAAATGAAGAGCTTATGAATATGAGGGAGAATTTGACAAAAGTCATCCGCGTACCACAGATGCCACAACCACCAGTGGAGGTGGCCCTTCCATCACTACTCCCGAAGTCACTTGACGAAATTTTTTTGGAGAAAAAAATAGAGTTGTTGCAGGGGTGTAAGAAGATGACGCTACAGCCACCAACGGTGGTGGCTAATCCATCACCATTATCCAAACCACTATACTTGAATCTTTTTGAGAAAGTGGCAGAGAGTTCTGGATATCAAGATGAGGCGGATAAGAGGCTGCAAATGGAGAACTGGATAGAAGAGAAAATTAGGTCAGAAAAGAAAGTGAAAAAAATGGGCCAATCTAATAAATTAACGGGTCAGGCCCAACTGGATTTTAAATTGCCCCAGACCCAAACCGATAGAGCTTTTGTTTTGAGTGAAAAATGGGCATGTCAGCCCATCGCCTTGTCTAGCCAGACCCACTCTAAAGCTGAACCCATATCCCAACCCGAATCCAGACCCAAACCAATATCCAAAAACAAATTAGACCCAGACCTAAAATCTGCACCGTCACCCAACTTGCAAGATGAGGACGGACATGAGGGGACGAACGCCAACACTTTGGGCGCACTCAAATGGCACCTACACGTTGAACGACCGATGGATAGGGAGGGACAAGAAAGCTACAAATGGAAGGCAGCTCACCCAACAGAATTATCGGTGGCTAAGAAGCATGTGGTGCTTG